GTTCACCTTTTACCTTCGCAGAAGCATCACTTCTTTCTCAATGGCATGTACTGTTCTCTCTGCTTAAAACTCCTTTGCCTGCTCTTCACATGGCTGTCTCCTACTTTCTTTAGGTCTTAACTTATGTGATACTATGTCCAGATTCTAAAGTAGCTCGTCCTGTTCATTACCTGCATTGCATTTTCATAGCACTTACTGCAATTTGTAATTATATATTTGTTTACTTATTTATTGTCTGTCTTCCCAAGTACACTGTAAGTGCATGAGAGCAGGGAGCGTAACTTTCTTTAATCACCATGTACCAAGGGCCTAGCCAGTGCCTAAGCACGTGGAAGACATTCAGTCAATTTATATTGTATGAATATAGACACCTTTATCATGGCTCACGCTTCATGTTATAGTTAGTTGTGTATGGGTCTGTTCCCTTTATTACATTGTGAGCTGCCCAAAATGCCTTGCCAGCATCTTTGTTTTCTTTAGGTCTGGGTACACAATTTAAAAAAGATAGGTATATTCTAGGAATTTGCACTAGACTTCTGCTTCCTTCTGTCTTCCTTTTCTTCCTGCCTTCCTTCCCCCCTTCTGTCTCTCCTTCTGTCCTTCCCTCCTTCCTTCTGCCCTCCCACTTGGATTCAACCTCAAATGACAAAATTTGAGATCATCTAGTTGAACATGTTCATTTTATAAGTTAGGCCTGGATAAATCAAGGGACTGACCCAAAGTCACACAGTACATAGCTGAAATGAGAACCTTGAGTCTTTTTACTTCCAGTTTAAAATTCCTTTTCTTATGTTATAACTGGACTGACAATAGACTGCTTCTTAATTTTTCTTGGGCAGAAAATTCTTTGTAGTTAAGATTTCTGTGTTGATGTGAAAATTTAAAGAAATTCAGTTTGACATATACCTATATGGCGAAATGTATGTAAAGAAAGGTTACATTAAAAAAGTAATGCAGTAATGTTAAGGAATATATTTTGAGTATTTAAATGTGGTATTGTTTATAGTCTGTTTATAACATAGACTCATTTTATGTGCCTTGCAAGTGAAAAACATGTAGGGATTGAATTTTTAATCAATAATTAGAGCTAACCCATAGTTCTCCCAGAGGCCTGGGTAATAATTTCTCTCTTCTTTGCTTCTAAATACAGAATCCCAGTAAGGAATGTGAGCCTTATCGGAGAAATGAAGACAAACCAATTGCTCCTTGTGGAGCTATTGCCAACAGCATGTTTAATGGTATGACACAGATATAAACAAAGATAAATATGTATATTATATGTGTAGTCAGCAATATTTGTATAATCTAATAACAGATTTGATAGTCTAGTAAACATGAATGAAATTGAGAAATTCAACAACTTTAAGATAGATATATCAATTATTTAGTGGGGTATTATAATGCTTTGTGACTTTCTTTTGAGAATTCTGTATTTTAAGAATGAATCTCTATCTCTAGGAAGAAAGAAGCAGAGACATTTTGCTAACTTCCTATTTCATACACGATAAGATAAATGCCAGGCTACCTTTCCCACCAACTCTGAATATTTTTACCATTAAAAAGGACCTGTGTTGATCATTTAGAACAGCACTATCTGATATGAATATAATGTGTACCATAAATGTGAGGCATGTATTTACTTTTAATTTTTCTGGTAGTCACATTAAAAAAAAAGACACAAGTGAAATTAATTTTAATAGTATTTTATTGAACCCAGTATACCCCAAATGTTACTTCAGCATATAAGTGATATTCAGTATATAAAAGTTATTAATGAAATATTTTAAATGCTAATTTTTTATACTAAGTTTTTGATGTCTGGTGTATATTATGTACTTATAAAACATAGTCATTTGGACCAGCCGTGATTTCAAGGTCTCTGTAGCTATGTAGCTAGCGATTACTATACTGGACATTGCAGATAGAGAAATTGATAAGTCAGAAGCTATTTAGGAATGCATTTTTTTAAAGGAAAGGAGAGGCAGATTTACCTTGCAAATTGTTTTTTCTGAGTTGATATTAAAACATCTGACCTTATCACATATCAGCTACCATGTAGGGAAATGACCAGGAATGGTACTGAGGGAAAACAAGTTCATCTAGGATTATAAAGTTACCATAGTTAATTCACATGTGAATAAGAGCAAATGCACATCATATGCCTACTTTGTTCACTTTGGGGAGCAAATACGGATCCTCATTTCTCACAGAGTAAAAGCAGGTACTATGGATTTTCAGTAGATACTTAGCAGAGTCTCCTTTTTCTTGTGTTTAGATACACTAGAATTGTTTTTGGTTGGCAATGAATCTGATCCTACGCCAATTATTTTGAAAAAGAAAGGTATTGCTTGGTGGACAGATAAAAATGTGAAATTCAGAAATCCCCCTGGAGGAGACATTCCGCTAGAAGAACGATTCAAAGGTAAAATATTACTAATATCCCCTAAACCATAATATAGGCTTGGTGTTTTAACCAAATACCTAAAATTTTCTGTCTTTAGAATCTTGAAAAAGTTTATGCTTTTTTAAAAACTTTCCTTAACCTTATGCCAAGTCAGGTAAAATATGTAGTGTTTTAATGTACTAAAACTCTAAAGGAAATGTATGCTTTTAATCTTGAATTTCTCTGGTATTTTCTGAAAATTCTTTCAGCCATAATCCTTTAAAATTATGACAGTTTCTTTTAAACAAGTTTTTATTTATTCATTCATTCATTCGTTTATTTATTTAAATTACTTATAATTATAAACCCAAATTTATTTTTGCTTCTATGCCTCCTTTATTTCACAGTGTAATATTTTTTACCATTATATCTTTTCACTTAGTCATCTGCCTTTTGGTATATGCTCAGTAGCCTCCTCGTGTTCTCTCAATTGAGATATCCATCAAATCTTCGAAATTATTTGTTCAGTTGTTACATGAGGAATTGGTTTCTGTTTAGGTTCTGAGACTACCTTAGAGTATAATATCTTTGAGCATAGGAATAATATTCATATTGTGTATTGCATACCTTTGTTTTATTAGAGTGAATTTTCAGTGAAACTCTTAATAGAACTTAATATTTTGTCTCCCCACTCCCACCTCTCCTTTCCAAGGTACAACAAAGCCTGTAAACTGGGTTAAACCAGTATACATGCTGGATTCTGACCAAGATAATAATGGGTTCATAAACGAGGATTTTATTGTTTGGATGCGTACTGCAGCGTTACCTACTTTTCGTAAGTTATATCGTCTCATAGAGCGGACAAATGATTTACATCCAACGTTACCAGCTGGACGATACTATTTGAATATCACGTACAGTATCCTTTTTCGGCCATGTGCACAGCTTCATAGGATTTGAAAGGAGCATAGTCCAACTGTGTCTCCATTATGTGGCATGATACTTTGTGTTTTAGTTTTGCTTTCTGCGTTTTTGTAAGAGTGTGTGTGAGTGTGTGTATGAAAAAGTCTCTTAACTTTTTCTTCTAGAAATGTCTTTAATTTTCATATATTTTGTAGTAGAGTTCAAGCATATTATTTGGTAAGATTGTTTAAAATGTAGATGCTAGATTTAGTAATAAGTTAGATATTTTTACAAGAGAGACTGTAGTTGAGCTTAATGCAAAGGCCAGTGAGTGTACCTAATCCTTAGCAAGTATGCGTTGATGGGTACTGTTTTACTGTATCTATGTAAGATACTAAAAATCAGTTGAGTTTGTTGGTTCACATCAACATAATTGTTTGTAATTATCGCTCTGTGTACAGTACCAAATAATAAACCACTTTCATCATTAGCTGTATTGTTCCACCTTAATAATTTAGGTATACTTTACAGTGCTCATTAATGTCATTTATTTCATCCTGACTGTATGTCAACATTATACCAAGTAATTTGCATGTATTATTTAATTCAGGCATCGTGGAGGCAGGTATTATCTCCATGTTAACAGGAATGCAGAGGCATAGAGCATTTAAGTAACTTACCTGAGGTGACACAGGTAATAGAAGAATTGGGGTCCATAATCAAGCTGCTGACTCCAAAGTCTGTTGGCTTTACCATCAGCCACCACTGTAGGCTGCATGCATCCCTTGCTGGTTCACTCAGGTAGTTGAACCAGTCCATACTGGCCTGGATGCAAAGTCTTTCCTAAGCTGAAAATATTGGGCACTAACTTATTCGAAACAAAGTCCTGCATCTTTTAACCTCTAGCCCTTTGCTTGTATAATCGTGAATGAAAATTTCTCAATTATTAGCATTTAAATGTTTGCTGATGATCTTTGCATTTTTGATTTTTCATACCCCAAATTAGCTATGAGTATGTAGTTTTAGTTTTATAATGGATTAATAGATGTTTAAATTAATAGACCTAATTTCAAAATAAAGATCTATTTGGATCTTTAGTGTTTTTGATTTTGCATCTCAGTACCCAAATGACTGTGACCAGATAGTGACAGACTGAAAGTGACCACGGTTTTGAAACTAGGCTCACATAGAAGCCATTTTGGACAGACCCAGCTCAGGTGCTGGTAGAAAGAGCATTACCCTGAGGCATTAGCCAAAGTAGAGGGCAGCCTGTGGCCTGGAGCGCAGTCAGGGGAAGCCTTTGGAGCGCTCAGAGATTCTTAGTTGACAGATGATTTGCACCAAGAGAACTGTCAGGAGGAATGCAGACTATTTTGAAGATCAATAAAACAGGACTTAGGCCTGCAAACAGCAAGGGTTAATTATCAAAATTGGGGTAAAGTGGGAACTAGGTATTAGAATTAAGGCAGAAGCCCATTTTTTAGGTTTGGGATATAGAGACTGGTGTGGATGATTTGATACCACACCCCTTAGAGTATGGGTTAGTTAGAACACTTAAAATCATTCCTGCCTCAGCTTAAGATTGATTTAAGAGACTAGTAGAGTTGAGCCTGTCATTAGAGTCATAGGCCCATCTGCAGGGCTGGAGAGCTACAGAAGCTAGAGAAACAATTAACACTTGATTCAAAAGATGCTTTTGAAAAAGTCGTAAACCTTTTGCTTAGGTATTTAATTCTGTCTGCTCCTCTGCCCTAACTTTTGCCAAAATCCTAGAACTGGTCCGTGTGGATAGCTCATCCAATGTGTCAGTGTCCCATTTCTTAAATCTCATTAATGAGCCACCCTTCAGTTCCACTCTGTTTTAGCCGGCTTCTCTCTGTGTCACACCATGAGTTTAATCACTGCTCCAGGTCAGCAGTGTGGAACTGCGGTTGACCTTGTGCTGAGTCCTCCCTGCTCTCGCAACTACCCTCTGCCACACTTGTTGTTTGGGCTCACAGAGACCTGCAGTCCCTTCGTCCTTCCCTTTCCTCCTGGTCTGTCAAGCTTTTCCTCCTCAAAGAGTTTCACTGCTAATCACCTGAAAGATTTTTTTCACATTACATTTCTTTGTGGCCTTAGCCCCTCCTGTGTGATGATTGCAAAAGTACCTGAGAAATAATATAACCCTGAAATGTAGTTGTTTTTGCCTGTAAACTTTATTGATCTTTACTGCAAACATTTAATTTGCAAAATTGATCCTTCAGGATAATTTTTTGTGAGTCAGAATGTGTGAGTAAGGTGCCTGTGGATGATAGAATTATACCAATGAATTACAGACAATTAAATGTCAACTTTTTAAGTTGTAGTTTAAAAATCAAGTAACTCGACCTGGAAAGTCTTCCTATACCCTCTTCAGATTACCCCGTACATTCATTTGACGGACGAAAACGGATGATCTTGAGCACTATTTCATGGATGGGAGGAAAAAATCCATTTTTGGGGATTGCCTACATCGCTATTGGATCCATCTCGTTCCTTCTGGGAGTCGTACTGCTAGTAATTAATCATAAATACAGAAACAGTAGTAATACTGCTGACATTACCATTTAATTTTATATTCTGAAAACAGATTTACTGCATGTGCATCAAGGCCAGTCATAGTCAACCTAGCTTTCAAATGCTGATGTCTGGTTAGTATGTCATTTTTGAAGTTGGCACATAACTTTTTTTAAAAAGCAGTCTTTGTCCTTTGCTTCTTCCTTACTGATGACTTATGAAAATATATGACGGGTATAAAACAGATTAGCTCAGTTGATCATATCAACACTGTAACTGCTGACATGGCATCCTGATGTGTGCTTTTTGTTGGGACCGGCGAGATGATGCATAGAGCCTCTTCCACGTGAAATGCGTCTGCTGCTTAAATGTTTATGCTGTGTTGATAATATTATATTGTCATGTGATACTGTATATGTGTGCCTATTGTGTGAAGAAAGGAGTGACAAGATGTATGAGTATAATGACTTGCTAACTGTTCAGGATTCAGAGTTACAAAAAGATGAAGAAAGACCAAATCTAAATAAAACACTTCATCATTTTCATATGTCGTGTGTAAAGGCTTAAAGTACCATCTTTGTTGAGGTGGTTCATTTATTCAGCTTATCCAGTACAGTTCTGTATCAAGTTAGCTTAGCTTTGATTTCAGAGGCCATGCTTACTTGTCCAGCATAGGAATTAATGCTCATGTCTGAAGAGGTTAGGTGGGTCTCAGGTAGGATTTAAAATTTCTCTTTCCAGTGGGTTAAGGTGTTGCAGTCAGGAAACCCAGCTCCCTTGAGTTTTTACATACGATCATTTCCCGTGAAGCTTCCACTTCATAAGGGATGAAAGAATAGGTGAGATGGGAAAACTTCTTGGCAGACCTTCATCTGCTTCAACTGTAAACCAGATGTAAATGTTCAGAGGAGACTGTTTCTTGATACCCCAGGTATTTAACATTCAGAAATTTGCTTCAGCATTGGAAATACCTCAAACTTTTTATTTTGCAGGTAAGTGTTTTGACTTAAATACTAACGTTATATTGCAGAAATTTTGGAAAACGGTAACCTTCATTCTCTCTGTATTTCATTCAGTTTTTACATATAGGTCAAATATGAATACGTATGCACATTCTCTTTCATTACGGCACCAATTGTTTTGGTTGGTTTTTCTAAGATGATATTTACATTTCCTAATTAAATTCTGGAGATTTTGGAGTCTGTACATGATAAATTATAATATATATGGTTGAAGCTATTTTATTTTCTATTAACTGGAATTATTTTAATATTCCTTATTGAATAAATGCTGTAATTTGTTTGCTATGGAACTTATTCTTGAATGTGAACTAATTTTTTCACATGCATGAAATGTATATCTTAATCAGAGGTGGCTTAATTGCATTGAAATGGTTTGGTTTTTTTTAAACTAAAAGAACTCATGTTTGTATAGAAGAATGCCTGTTTGAATTCAGAGTCTGTAATTGTTTCCTTTGGTTATATTTTAAATCAAAAGGTCTGTATAATTATCAATTTTGATTAATTTTTTTTTTGAAAAACAAAAAATTATGTAATGGTTAATAGTAGAAATGTGCCACACTTCTTAAGTTTTGTATAACATGAAATTCAGTTAGAAGAACTTGTAGTTCATAATGACTTTTAACAGGTAGAATATTACTTGCATGAGGTACTTACTGTATGATTATCCTGAAATTTCTGAGTGCACAGGGTATTTGTGTAAAACTTTTCTTTGTTTTGTCAGTCCTTCAGAATATTTATTTATTCTGATAATTGACCCTCTTGCACATGGCAGTTTATTTTCTGGGATACATCACTGGGGCGAGGGGCTTCTGCTAGTCTTTGCAGATTGAGTTGTGCTGTTTAAGGAGGACTGCCAAGCTGCATCTCTTTTTCTAACTGGGGGACCAAAGGTGCCGCTAAAGCAAAGTTGAAGAGCCCTTCCAACACTTTCTCATCTGTGGTGAAGACGGAAGCTTAAAATGTGTTTGGAGTTTTGTCTGTTTTACAAGTACCTTGATGGCCTAAGTTCTTCCTTGTCTCTTGCCATTCGAACTTGATTCTGAATGTTGCTAAGTATGAAGAAGATGGAACATTCATACGGCCACTGTGACGGAGGGGAAGGAAAAACGTTTCTTATGGGCATTATGCTCATCTTTGGAAACACTGATGTCATACTCAACTTTCAAAGGAGCATATTGCATCTTAAGACAACTAGGTTAAGTAGGAAGTTTGAAAAATGCATTAACTTGCAGGAAATATTTTGATATATGAAGTTACCAATTGAAGGAATGATTTAATAAGTAAAAGTTAAGAAATGTCTTTGAAATTGTAAAGCAGCTAAAAAATAAATAGGTAAAAGTAACTGTACTACCAAGTGGAGAATTTTTCAGCCAAGAGGAGAGTCAAATGAATATTGTTTATTGGTTAGTAACAGTTTATTTGTAACCTTGATTATATTAAAAGATAACTTTCTGTTAGTATGTTCTGTATTAATAAAAGTGAACAAAATTAATTTTGCTATATTCAAGTGTCTTGCTGAAATAACAGTGCCCCAGTGTTGTTGCTGACATTTGGTATTTAGTACTAAATTTTAGTCGAGGGTCACTGAGTCCAAATTTTAACATTTCCATGCCTAGATTAGATTACCATTTTCTGTAAATATTAATCACTCTGACAGCATTAACTGCAAGATTTATCTGTGTCACTGAGAAATATTTGTTCTTACCAGGAAGTGGTCAGATGGTCCCCTCAGTTACAGGTAGACAGGCTGAATTTGCTATAGATCAAGGGGAATTTCTGGTAAACAGAAAATGAATAACTGGTAGAGAGACAGGGAGGATGAAACTGATGAAGTGGGCGGGGCACATAGGAGGTGAAAAGCCAGGCTGGGGAAGAGGAGCCGCTGAGAGGCAGGGTTAGTGACGCTGCTCAGCCTGCTCACCCACTTCAAGGGAACACCGCCTTAGAATTATTGTATGATCCTTTGTTGGTTAAGCCGCCAAGTTTTGTTCTTTGTGAACGTGGTTATTTTGATGGGAGGGTGGAGGGAGTAAGGAAGTGCTGTTTCAACAAGAATTTGGTGCATGAATGTTTGTTGTAGAAGTTTGATAATCTAGTAAAGTGTATTAGAGCTTTTTTCTTGGCCCATGACCCATTCAGTAAACATAAAAGTCATATTTCCCCTAATGTCATTTGAAGTTTCAAAATAAATATCATGTCTAAAATCACATCAGACCATCTTGACCTTATTTGCTTTTTTATATCTAAAATTCAACACAGTAATGTGTACACGTTAAAAAAAAAATCGAAAGTCCTCATGATAAAAAGCAGCAGTCCCTGTCTCAGATTTCTTTACCTTCTGGAGACAATTACTTTGACTTCAAAAATTGTTTGTTTTGGTATCTGTCTTAGTGTATGTAAATAATATGCCTATTCTGCTATTGCTTGATTGAACCGCTTTAGACACTATTGTCATCTTGATAATATTACCTGATGATTTCACTAACACGTACCTCCCCTTCTCTGATTATATAGTTATGCCATTAATACTTAATAAACACATTAGCTAATGTCTAATTATGACCATAAAAGTCCTATAAAGTAAAGCAAAGCAGAGCCCATGATTATACTTTTATCATTTTATTTTTTCTGGAATTAATCACCTCATTTTTAAAATTTACATAACGTTCTGGAAGCCTGTCTTAAAATTTTTCTAGCTTCTCTCTCAGGTCCACCATCATCTCATCACTAGTCTTGAAGAGTTTTGGGGCCCCGATTATTGGATGATCTGATTCCCTGTTTTCACTGGAAGGGTCCCTTCTGCATTTGCCATTCTCTCCCGATCTCTCCTGGTTCTTTCTTGGCCGACTGCACAGCCATTACCCCAGGCCTTCTTTTCGTCAGCCTGTGTTGGATCTGCTGTTGCCTAGTTCACTCTCTGGAAGGCAGCTATGCCCACCACTATACCACCAACGCTGCACGTTTACTCTCTGGTTTACTGGAGCACTAGGTTCCTAAGACTCGTGAAGCGTCCTAAGAAGCGGTATAGAAGAGGCAAATTCTCTGAGTCCTTGCATGTCTGAAGTTTCCATTTCCACTTTCACATTTCACTGATAGTTGACTACATGTACAATTTTCAGTTAAAATAATTTCCCCTTAGCATTTTGAAGGCATTGCTTCAAACTTCTCTCAGAAGTCTAACTTTCGTTGTTGCTTTTGAGAAATCCGATCCTATCCTAATCAGATATTGGACCTCCTAGACTGATTCTTAAGTTTCTTCTCTTTTTCTCCAGGTGTTTTGTCTCTTCTTTCTAGATTTCTTCATTTTGATCTTCCAACATTATTTTTCTATTGAATTTTTAATATTAAAAAAAGTATTTTTTATTGTATAAATACAATATATATATTGTATTTAAAATACTTAATTTTTAAGACACTTCCTTTCTGTTGTTTCCAAAACAAGCTAATCTTAACTCACAGATAAAATATCTTATTTTTCTGAGGATATATATGAATGCGTATATGTTTTCACTTTAATTTATTAATATTTTTAAAATATACTTAATATATTATAAATATTTAATTTTTAAGACTTCCTTTCTGTTGTTTCCAAAACAAGCTAATCTTAACTCTCAGATAAAATACCTTATTTTTCTGAGGATATATATGGATGCGTATATGTTTTCACTTTTCTTTCCTACTCTCAGCACCAAGTTATGTTGCTGCTGTTTGCAGTTTTTCATGGAGGTGACTTTCTTTGTTTCTCTGCCTAGTCTCAGGGCTCTATACGTGAATGGACACTGAAGACTCCCTGCAAGCTATTTGCTTGTGGGCAGTGCTTGAAAGGGATAGGCTTCACCCACAGTGCTACACGAAAATGCCACTCCGTGAATTATTTGTTCCTGCTCGTGACAAAATGCTTAGACAAGTCATAAACAGTTGGCAGGTCAGCAACTCTAGGTAGACTGAATTTTGAGAAACACTGCATTAGGGAGTGATTGTCAGGGAGCCCATCCTTTGGCTGGAGGCCTTTTCTGTGGGACTGTTCAGTCTCTCTGGGCAAGAATTCTCTAGACTTCTGCAAAAGGAAGGGGCTGAACGAGGGTCTGGCTCGCCCTGCTTTGAACTCTTGCTTCTGCCTTTTCTTCCGCCACAGCTTCTGTTCTCCACTTGACACCTATTTCCCTAGACGCGGCCCTTTGCATGTGCCTTACGCCTAGTTGTCTCCTGTTGCTTTTTCCAGATAAAAATTCTCTTGTTTTCACCTGTGGGAGACAGTGATGGAGGTGAGAGATTGTGTTTGGCTGAGGGGTAGCACAGAGATCTCTGGGGTCTGACTCTTCTGCTGTAAACAATTTTCAACCAGTCATTTTCAGGCCCATACCTTGGCTTCACCCTTTACTATAACTTTTACCTTCATATCTGAGCTTCCCAGGGATTTTGGAACCAATCAATATGCTTCTCGTTGGTATCCATCCCCCCTTCAGATTGCAGCTTCCTCTCTCCTGCTCAGCCCTATCCCATTTGCTTTCTGTTTTCCAGAAATCTCAAATTGCTTTTTCCTCTTTCTGTCTCCTCTTTACTCTCCATCCTTTTGGGCTGTCTTTTAAAAAAATGTCTTTTAGACTATCATACAGTAAACTTTAGTTGTCTTCTTGTAGGGTACGGTTCTGTGAATTTCAACCCAAGCATAGATAACCATCATAGGATACAGAGCAGCACCAAAGCCCCCAAACCTTCCTTCTACTGTATACCTTTGTAGCCACCCTTCTTTCCATCCATCCATCATCCCAGGCAGCCACTGATCTCTTTTTCATCCCCAGAGTTTTGTCTTCTGAAATGTCATAAATGCAGTCGTCATACCACATGTAACCTTTTGGAGCTGTTTTATTTTACCGAGCATAATGCCTTCGTGATTCATCAAAGGTGGTGTGTCTAACAATACCTCATACCCTTTCAATTCCTTTTCTTCCATTTTACTGGAGTAAAAGGGAACAGAGACAAATTCTTGGGGCCAATTCACTATCTTAAACCAGAGCCACCTTGAAGCAACTTTTGATGATTTTGTTACATTTTTTCTTTTAAATCTCAAAAGATAAACTTACTATGTCCTTGAAGTGATATTCATGGGAGCTTGTCTGTATGTCACAAGCTCTTCCTGCAGGGTGATGTGGAAGAAGATCGAATTCACCCTACTTCACTTTCTCTGCAGAGACTGGCATTGCTACTTTCTTTCAAGGACAAGAAATGCAGGGAAAAAAATAGCTTGACAATTATATGTCAAATTGCAGTTGAATCAGTGGTCTAAAATAATCCCTGGGGTGTGTTGTCTTCCTTTTTTCACAACAAAGCTTGTAAAAGAGGAGTTCGTATTTTAATGTCATCTTCAGCACAGCTGTCACCCCACTGTTGCACTATAGTCTCTTCAGTGTCATCTCTGTCTAAAAGATGCAGTAGAAATATGGTTTTTAGATTCCCACTGACCTGGCTTTTACCTAATATAAACTGTATCTTCAGATTATTCTTCAGATTACTTAATTTCCTAAGCCATTTACTTTACTATTTCCTTGTCGATAACATGGGGATTTTAATACCCACTTGACAGATTTTTGTCTTGAGGAATAAGGAAAGTGACAGATGATACGCATTTAGCACAAATTATAGAAAAATGGCACTCGATGAACAAGTCCCACTTCTTTTTGTCAAATCAGATGGACTCATTTCATACTGATCCGGAGTTTCTCTTATAGTCCTCTGTCTTAGAAGTTAAGCCAGAAATCTCGCTCTCCTCTCCAACTTCCCAATCCAGTAAATCACGACCTTGTGTTGATTGGTGGAGATACTTCCTCACTGTTGGCTCAGGAACCCATCTCCTTATCTCCATCCCTTCACCTGCACCGCCTTAATGCTGCTGACTTGAGGTTTTCTTTTCCCTTTGGATTACTATAAGAGCCTTCTAATAGACTCAGTCCCTGGTAATTTATATCCAGTCCAACCTTTCGCCACTACCAGAAATGATCTTGAAATTGAGTTCTGGCCCTTGACCATCTACTATTTAAGCCTTTAAATGGCCCTAAGGAACCTTCAGGAGAAAATTTAAGTTCACCATTAAAACCTCACTCCTGTCTTCCTCTGTTGCCTCACACCTCCCTTTGTCCTTCTGCCAAACCAGACTATTTGCACGCAGTTCCCCAGATCACCTTCTCTTCTTTGCCTCTGCATATGCTATACCTTCTGCTTGGATACTTCTTGACCCATCTCTCCTTACCCAACTTTTCCTCTTATAGTAATGGCTTACATGTATTGAATTGTATCATTTAATCTTCACAGCTACTTGAAGATGGATACTAGTACCTCCATTTTACAGATAAACAGGTATAAATAGTGAAATTTGCTTCATATCACTGTCAAGTGACAGATCCAGGATCTGTCTGACTTCCAGGTTCTTAACTACAGCAATATTTTTTCTCTTTTCACTCCATCTAGGCCTGTTTTACACTTCCTGCAGTAGATCATGCTTGGTTCTAAATCTAAGTTATTAATTGTGTTCTTGCCCTAGGTTTGGAATGCCTTTTAATCTTCATTTGCTCTAAATTCAGTCTTTTCAAAACTCTCCTAATGATCAGATCCTTCCTTGAGTTTCCTGTAGCAACTTCTGCTCTACTGATTACCAGAGACTCATTTTTGTCTGCATCATAATTTACTATTACATGTGTATTATTTTTGTATTAAATTATATGCTTCAGGAGGTCAGGGATTTAAAGTTATCCCCTGAGCATACTGCAAAGTGTTGCATTCATAGAAGCTAGCCAGTACATTATAGTTCAACAATTGCTGTTTTATGAAAGTATTTTTCCCACATAAGGATTTCAGATCCAGAGATGAAGATCAGCCCCAATCCCCAACTTTAATGTGAAAAGACTGAGGCTTGTAATTAGATAAATTAATAATAAAAGAATACAGCAGTTGAGACCACCAAATGTTTCCTGATTCCTAACTATATAATAATCAAAGAAAATAAGCAATTATGTTGAAATACTGTCTTTAACTAGTAGTTTTATACATTAAACTTCACATGAAGCTGTTCCTATTACATTTTTTTTAAACTGTTAAGTGGATTAAGGATAGTCCCAAAACTAAAATACATCGCAATCACACAAAACTATCCTGGCTTTCCTCTGCTTTTTATTTACAGATGCTGTAGGCAGGATCAAAGTAAGGGTTATCATCCTGTTTGTTTTTTAAAGAAAAAGAAAGATTGTGATTTGGTAACTTGGTATCAGTAACAGTGAAATAAATATCTTTTCACTTAGTACTTTCACATCTGATGTCCATCTTACAGCAGGGGTCAAATTTACCATTACCTACCCCAGATTTCCCACATAGCTAAACAGCATATTGCCAATTCTGTTATGATGTCAAGAGCCCCCTGAAAGAAATATTTTTCAACAGAAGAGCCATTTCCAGTAATTTTCTAATATGACAAAGAAACTGATGTTTGAGAAAGGAACCTATTTTGAAAATAACTATTCTGCTTCAGAGGATGAATTTACAAATCAGGTAACAAATTTCAAGTGCACCAGGGAAGCTGAAGTAAAGTTGGATAGACATCCAGGCAAATTTCAGCCATGTTTTCCTGTCAGGATGGTCACATGTACAGAGCAAGGAGATGATGAGTGAGGAACCCTGGGACTGAAAGATGTTTGAGAGAATTGCAAGTATTAAAGATTTTGTGAATTTTTATACTCGGTGAAATGAGTTCACTCTTTTGTGCAGCATACTAGTCAGTTTACTAGTATTTACGTAGCATTTTCTACATGCCAATTACTATTCTAGATGCTGGGGATACATCATTGAACAAAATAAAGTTTGAAGCAGAGTCATTATCTAACTTAAGTCCTTAAAGGGATCATATCGCCGCATGGAAGGTAGCGGCAGAGTAGAAGCAGGGAAACCAGTTGAAAAGGCTTTAGCAGTAATGCAAGAAAGAGATGATGGCTGGGCCTGGAGTGGTAATAGCAATGCAGATAATGAGAAGTGGTCAGAATCAGATTATATTTGGAAGGTACAGCCAACAGAATTTTGTAATGGATCAATTCCAGGGTATGATAGAAAACAGCCAAAGTTTGGGTCTTGAGATAAAATTTCAGAGAAGGCTTGGAAAGTAGAATTCAGTTTTGGTCGTTAAGTTTCAGATGCCCATTAGACATCTAAGTAGGAATGTCTGGAATGAATGCAAAAGAAAGATCAGATTGGAGAGCTGTCCACGCACCAGGGATATTTCATCACGTTGGATGAAATCACAAAAGGGATAAATGTAGGAAAGAAGCTGTAGTCTGAAATATAGAAACTGAGAGGATAAGGATCCAAGAAAAGAAGCTAATAGCAGCTGCTGAAATAGAACCACCAAAGGAGCAGCGTATGGAAGTCTCATTAAGACCATGTTTCGAACTATACACACGTTATACTGTATTGCATATACGGCTTATTTCCAAATTAAAAATTGAAAATTTATTGTGAGGGAATGATCAGCTGTGTTAAATGTTGCTGATAGATGCAAAAGATGAAAATCAAAACTGACAGTTTTAAGATTAGGAGGAGTGGAAGGGAAGACAAGTATAAAGAAATCTGTTTTGTTTTGAAGGAGAAGGGAAATGGTATGGTAACAGATCAAAGGTGGTTTGTTTAGTTTGGGAATATGTTTATAGGCTCATGGAATGATTTAGAAAAGAGGGGGAAACTAATCACATGCATATAGGGATCTGCATCTACTTGAGAATCTATTTTATGTGAATCTGGTCTTTTGGGATAGAGCCATAAGGGTCCTAGATCTGTCACCCACTATTATTAATTCATCTGTTGGTTAGTAGATTACCCCCTTTAAGTAGTCCTAAGTGGAATAGCAAGAAATTCACATAATCTCTCTTCTTAAAAAGTTTACAACCTAGTTGGCTAAATGGAGAAAACATAAGAGCATACACAAGTTTAACAATTCAGATTATAGAGAAGCCCCTTAAAACAACAACTCTATGCCCCAGCATTGGCACCTAGTAATTGTCCTCAAGCATTTGCTTACAGTGAGTAATACAGAGTGGCAAATAAAACAGGTCCTTTCAGTCCCAATCTAGGGAAGAGATGAATTGGGTATCTATAATTCATAAATATATAAATTTATAAATTGAGTATTTATAATTGATGAGGAAAAGAAAACTGGGAACAGGTAAGGTGGTGGCATCTAATCTTTATAGATTAGTAGTAATAACAATTTCAGTATTACTGATTTTTATCCACACGTTTCACCTATGCTGAACCCATGAACCATCAGCTTTCTCTTTGGAATAATTATGAGTTCGTAAAAAGGTGGAAGATATTTATTGTATAGGGTAGACAGTTTTATATTTACACCGGGTTGAAGTTGGGCACTTGTCATAGACGCTTGGAATGTGGCATTATGTAAACACGGCTGGTATCTGTACTGTAATAGCTATGCCACTCCAGTCATGGAGAGTGCCCTGCTAGACTGAGACAGCAAGACCCAAGAGTCCAGATCTGCCATCCAATTTCTGGTCCCCCAATTAAAAATGTCCCCTCTTTTCAGCGTTTTCCCAGCCTGAGAAACGAGCGAACAGCATCCACGATTTCGGCCACTGGGGAAGACATGCGTGCAGGAGGAGTTCTGCAGCATTGAAAGGTACAAGAAGACAAAAGCCGGTATGCCGACGCGGCTCTATGCAGCATCCTCTCAGCACAAGGAACAAGAACGTCCTCACCACAGTTTCCTCGGTGGGAAAAACTGACTGTATCCGTGTAAGAGGAGCTCTGCTTTTTGTTCCGTACTTCATCCAGCTTCACAGAGTTCGGCCAAACCAGTGTTCTAAACAATGGCTCAAGGGTTGCTGAGAGCTGTACGCCTTTCTCGTTCAAATTATACACGCTGATCTTCTATGCTGGTCTGGTCTCACATTAATTGTAGCCTTTATCTAAGCTAGTTAGAAGAGTACGCAACGCCACAGTCCCCGCCTCGCAGGTCGCAAAAGCAGTTCGCTTCTCCCCAGCCTCCGCTCCCGGGGCCGCCGGCACGCCATCGGCGGCTGCAGAACGAGACCGAGGCATAGAGACGGCCCGCCGCCTAGAGCGGCCACGACGGCCCGGCCATTCTCGCTTCTCTTTCTCTCTCTCTCTATGGTTAGGAGGGCAAGTCCCTCCTCTGCCCGGAAATAGTTCTGTTCCCAGACACTTGCGCAAAGCCAGAAAGTAGTTCCGGTTCCGTCGTGTGGATTTTCGTTCCTGGTAGTCAGTTGTCACGGTTGGTGAGAAGCGGCTGAGGCAAGATGCTGCGGAATCTGCTGGTGAGGATCTTTTCTCTTGGCATTTATGATGTGGGGAGGGAGGCCTGGGAGGGGAGGCTAAAAGGGCCTCTCCTGGGAGGGAAGGAGGAAGGGAGGCGGCGGCTTCTGAAGTCACCTTGGTCCATGTCCTTTTTGCTTGACCTTATTTTCCCTTCCATGCATCCCTCTGGCCCCAAGCTGTGCTGGGAAGATGTAGGGAACGGCGAAGCTGGCGAGGTGACCAGAGGATTGTGCGTTAGACAAGCGTGGGTTCTTAGTTCTCATTCCTGACCTTGTGGGCCCAGGTGGGAAGTTTCTGATACCCGGAAGCATCAGACACTGAAAGGTTTAAATTTCAGTGGTTCTGAGCTTTGTGAGCGTCAGAAGGCAGTTTAAAAAACAAGTCATTCAATTTTGGCTGGGACTTTAGGAGCATTCATGGCCGAATGGTGTGTTGTTTCCGTCAGGCGGTTCTGCAGTGTCCTTTACCCCGCCACCGACTTTGAGAGCATGTGAAATATTTTCCCAAAATTTTGAAAAGAAGGAAAATGTAACAGTGGTCGTTTTCTTTGGTAATTTTACAATGAGTTTTTTACTTATCTTCGCAATGTCATTTGACAATGGAATGCACATTTGTTGATTTAATTCAACTGAATATGTAATGCAAGTTTCTTTGTTTAAAGATTTATACCCTACTATTGATTTTTAGAAAAAATGTAATGAGGGAAGCACTTAACTAGAAATCATGCCTGTTTATTTTGATATCAAATAATAGATTTTTAATAATATGGTAGAGTATTAAATAAAAGAAAATTCTGAGCTTAGTGTATTTTGTAACCTGTCTTTATTTTTGTAGTATCTACATACCAATATATTTCCCTTATATAATGCTACTGCTTAAATTCAGGTAAAGATCATGAATTTTTTCCCCCCTCATAATTTGCATGAATTGCTTCTTAAATGTGGTGTTTGGGGACTTCAGAATGTAATATAAAGAAACAGTGGCAGGGCAACAAATAAGAAAACCTCAGTGCTTATCTATGACTTTGTTATTGACAAATTAGATATGTTTTAACTCTCAACTTCCCTTTTCTATAATATTAAAGATTGGAAATGGTTGAATTTTGAAGGTTTCTTTAGGCCTTAAGTCTGCTTAATATATATGGATTTTTTATTTCAGGCTCTTCGCCAAATTGCTCGGAGGACCATAAGTACTGCTTCCCGCAGGCAGTTTGAAAATAAAGTTTCAGAGAAACAAAAGCTGTTTCAGGTACTGAAATATTTTATGGGAGATTGTTACTTGTTATAGTTAAGAGTACCAAAAGTTGGAGATAGGGAGTAAATCTGAAGATGTCTGATCCTTAGCAATCCTGTTGTATTAGCAAGAGAATAATGAGAAGCTGTCTATTGATAGCTAACTGAGCATTTGCTATAACCAGCAGGCCTTTGGGAAAGCAAAAGAAAAGAGGGGGAAAGGGTATAGGCCAAAGGCACTTTCTTTTGGGAGTGTCATATTAGGTTAGCACTCTTTGGGGTAATTGTACTGGAATTGACAAATAGACTGTAGAAAGGGCCTAGAAACAGGACAAATATGTGTAGAAACTTGATATATGTTAAATGTACTATTTCCTGTCAGTGGAGAAAGGATATAATAAATTAGTATTGGAAAAATTGGCTATTTTGAAGAGATTAAAGTTACATCCCTTCTATATTGCATATTAAAAGATTAATTACAGATATAAATACTTCTCCCTCAAAAAATATTAAAATACAGGAAAAATTTTTCCAGTTTTATTGAGGAATGATTGACAAGTAAAAATTGTATACATTTAGGTTGCACCTGACTTTTTTTAAAGTGTACAGTGAGACATTTAATCTATCTATGAATGTTTACCACAGTCACGTTAATCTTTGGGGTCATCCTAAGGAAGTCTTTACAAAGTGTAGAAGCTATAAAGGAGAAAAGTTGCAAGATTTGATGACATGAAAATTGTAAATGTATTTATGGTTACAAAACACAATTGACAATTTGAGAGCAAATTTTTAAAATTAGCAACATTTTTACTGTTAGCAAAAAGTTAATGTCCTTAATATACAAAGAACTCCTACAAATAAATAAGAAATGCAAATTAAAGTGACAAGCTGCTCTCTTTTTCCCTGTTTGTCTGAATTTTAGAAAGATTTAAAATAGGTTATGTTAGCCAGGTGTGGGAGATACATGCATTCCTATATAGTGCTTTGATGTATGCTAGGTAGTAGTATGATTGGTACAGAAATTTTAGAGAATATTTGAAAGTATCGTTAGAAGCAAACCACATGCCCTGTCATCTAGGACTCCCACTTTAAGAGTCTTTCTGCAGAATAGTGGCATAAGTATTTAAAAATAGGAAATAGGCTATTATTCATTACAGGATTTTAATACCCCAAACCCTAACAACCTAAATACCCATTAACAGAGGACTGACTAATTGAATTATGATTTTTTGGGGGGTGGCATAGTGGAATTCTGTGTAGCCATTAAAAGGAACAAAATAGGTTTAAATGGACTAACAATGGTTTTTAAGATATTATTGAGTGAAAAATAGTGTGTGATAGACCACTGTATAACACAATCTCATTTTGTGTATTAAACAAGTATGTGTATGGATTAGAAGATATGACAATATAAGCATTAAAAAATTAAGGATGTGTACTTGGTGTTAATAGTGGTTTTCTAATGAGGAAAGACTTAATGGGACAGAGCAGTTTAACTCTGTAAGTAGTTAGGCTATCAGTGATGTTTTGTTTTATTGTGATCTCTGATTTTTCATAAGTAAAATTTTAAGTGGTAAAAAAAAACGTTGTACCATATATACTACATAAAAATAAAATACTTAATTTAACAGATATATTAAATATCTACTATATGCCAGGTACTGGATTAGGAGTTAAAGATATAACTTATGGTTGTAAACCAAAACCCCTCTCCCTTTTTTTTAAGGGGTAAAAAACTTCCGTATGACTAAATTTAAAGTGGAATAATTATTGCTTTTTTAATAAAGTTGATGAACTCAGTAACTATATTTTCACAACCTTAATGTTTATATATGTTCCTTTAAAAGGATCTCTTTTGGATCTCAAATTAACTTTAAAAGAAAGAATGTCAATTTTTAGGAGTTCTTATTTTAAAAGTAGCTGTAGAGAAAGAATCAGGAAAATTATAGTCCTTTTAAATTTTGATATTTAACAGACTTCAATTCCAGGAGGTTAAGGAGCCACTTCATTTTATATGAATGGATTAATTTTTTTAACTTAGCTGGAAACAAATGTCACACGTATTAATTATTCCTCTTTTTTTTTAACCTAGGAGGATAATGGAATTCCAGTGCATCTAAAGGGTGGGATGGCTGATGCCCTCCTGTATAGAGCCACCATGGTTCTCACAGTTGGTGGTAAGACGTTTGGAATGCTTGCTTTAGTGTAAAGTCATAGCAGGGGTAACTAACAACATCATTGCTTTCACCGTGCCAGTATTTTAACACAGGCAGTCTGTTCCCAGAATCTGAGGTCTTACTGCCTCACGTATAATGAACAACTCAAGAAGGTGTTGGATACATATTGTAGAAGAACATTTTAATGTTTTTTTAAAAAAACCAATAAAGTTTGATAATTATCTCATGAGAGAAGTGGCTTTTGGAGTGGGCCACCGGTGGCCCTGCTGGCCTTGGGAGGAGCCAAAGATAGCGCTCTGCCCCATCTCCTATAACAGGGTCTCTTAAACATTATGACTGTGATGCATAATAAAAGCACATTTCTTATCTAAACTCTGTACATACATGTTTGAGACAGAAACGAAACCTTGTACAGCACAGTGCTTACTTTGTGTGTAAAGTGCTTTGATATTTCCCTGTGGTTTGGGCAGGCCCGTTACTCAGTGTTAGCAGTGGGCTATCACAGATTGGGGTGCTGGGGGCAGCAGCTAGGAACTGGGGTGATTGCCCGCTGGGGGAGAAAGGAAAACAATGTTTGAGTGATTACCAGACGCTCATCCTATTGATAGGAATGCCACATACATGGATTTCTGTAACTCTCGTATTACGTCTGTAATGTATCCTCACGTTAAAGATGAATGAATTATGTCATTTACCCAAGATAATGTTGCTTCTTTGTGGAAGAGCTGAGATTTGAGTCCCAGTCACAGAGTCCCCCCGCTTACACCAGGGCGCCTTCTTTGGCTCACTTGAGTACAGGGAAGTGCGTTTATGGACAACAACCTGGTTGTGACATTTGGGCTTCCTTAAGATAAAGTCCTAAATTATTTTTGGCCAATGTGACTGTTCTTTAGACATTTTGGTAATTAGTTTTAAAAATAAATTTCCAGTTATTAGAAGTTCCTACTTTAAATTTATTTTAAAATTATGTGTCACTCTTCCTTGGTTTTACATTGATAATATACTTCAGAGAAGGCATGCACATTTTTGACCTCTTTTTTGGGCTTTTGAATCATTTTTAGCATTTTTCAGGCAATCTTAGGTTGTAGATTCTTAATCTTTAAAAATGTTTTACCAGTTATTGAGTTGACAGATACGTTATTTTGCTGCATCTAACACGTTCTGTAGAAGTTAACTAATATTAAAACTAAATTAAATGTATTTTATTTGTATTTAAAATTTTGCCAGCACCTATCAGAATACTTTTTATGTTCCCATAAAAGTAGTCTTAATGCCAACCTTGCCTTTATATTACAATTTTTTAGCTGGAATGTTAGGTGTATACATTTAAATCTCAGGATTTCTTACAAGTTCTTACTCTATTTCTCCTTTTTTAGGAACAGCATATGCCATATATGAGCTGGCTATGGCTTCATTCCCCAAGAAGCAGGACTGACTTCAGTTTATCCTCTCAGCGATCTGTGGACCAGTAATCTGACAATAACTGAGTTCTTCTTTGGGGATCAATATTTATTGACTTGTACTAACTGCCACCAATAAAGCAGTCTTTACATGCTTGGTCTTAGTCTTTCACTTTAGGATACGTTATACCAATAGCACCAGCTCTCAATCAGCCTTGTAAACCTTAGGTAAGGAGCAAAAAAAAAAAAAAAAAAAAATTCCTTTGTCATTAGATTGTATAAAATATCATTGTGATACTGTTATAGTGCAATTTTATTTTTAGCAGCTTAGTATTATATAGTGGACGGTCTTCAGCTTTAATTGAGCCTGGCACTTGGAAAGCGTACTTCTTTGAATCTCGCCTGCCCCGCCTTCCCTGCTGTACTGTATCCAGGGATGTGCTAGGACCTGGGATTAGTGGAGGCAGTTTATTTTTGACTCATGGGATTCAAGGGTCTTTTTTTCCTCCTCTCTTAGCTATGCGTGTTTATGTTTAAAATATTGGATGTATTCCACAGTTTACAGGAGGCTTTAAGAGAGTAGCTGTGAAATAATTCAGTATTTGTTCTGCTCACACTCACAACGGGCTTCTATTATGTTACTTTAATCCATAACGTAAAGTGTACTTTTCCTTAAAATACTTAGTTCATTTGTGAAAGTTAACCTGGGGGAGCGTGAGGAATCAGACTTTGTCATCTCTGTAAGCTGTGCATTTGTAACACTACTACGTGAAGACTAGAGTCTTGGTGTGTCAGATCTAGAAGAAATCTATGAGTAAGGGTTTTCTAAACTTTAATTTCTGGATAAAATCAAGAAAATTAATAGATTTAGAAAAATAGAGTCAAATCTGAAATAGGTCAACTAAGTCTTTTCCATTTAAAACATTGAGGCTTATGGTACAAATCCATCTCAAAAGATACCTAATAAAAGATGTTTCAGCCTTGAATCTTGAACATTAGAAAGGATCCTGGTAGCCATACGTCTCACCTGCCACCAGATGCAGGAATCTGCCTAACCTCTTACAGACTCTTACTGCTAACATTAGCAGAGAACATGGCTTTTGAAGGGAGTGGAATGAATAACATTAGACATTTCCAAATGCTGAGGAAGTTCTTAAGTTGGTCTGGAATTGGTCCAATTTTGTGTTCAGAGCTAAAAAGCAACTACTGATGATATTTTGAAACCAGCTCTATTTGTTGGCATTGTACAAAGGAGAACTTCATAAATGTGACTTGAAATGCCTTGATGACATGGTACAAAGGATACTGTTGTGCAGTAAAAAGGAAGAACAGCTCGCTACCCTCTGCAACTTCTATCTCTTGATATTGTGAGGGGTACTTTACTATTTGTGGTGTAACCTAGTGAGACAATTTATAAAACATTTTTAATGCCAAAATTCTGTTTGAGCTATGTTAACATGGCACGATTGGATAAAGTAGAAGTAAGCTAAATGCTTAAGATGCTTTAAAATATTCTAAAATGCTAAGATTACGTTTTTGCTCTTCACCCTTAACTTTTGCTTTGTAAGCAGGGGTGGAGGTGGTGAGGGGGACGAAGGGCAGGATCTCAGAAGAGGGGTTGCTGGTTAGAATTTCATGAAATAATCTGCTATACTTAGCATATTTAGTAAGAAATATTACTATTATTGATAGATTTCAAAAGCTAACCAAATGCCCGTAGAACAAAGTTGGTTAGAAGTATTGAAATGTGGCCTTCAGGAAACAAAACTACTGTCATTCCAACCTCCTTTTATCTTTATACGTTATCCTTTTGAAAATAATGTCTGCTACTAAGTAGAAGAAATTCCATGATGATGTTATCCCACTAATACTAATGCAGAGGAGATACATTTAGGTGAAATTTTGTTGTAATTAGTCCTATGTTCAGAACTGTGTTTGTAGGCTAGCTGTTGTAGGTGAAATCACACCAAAAAAACTTACAGCTCAGAGAGCGCATGTCATTTACCCAAAGCTTCAAATAAATGGCAGCCCAAGATTTCAAATCCAGTTTTACCTGATTCTTAAAAGTTCATGGTCTTTCTGGTATACTTCCTCTTACCAGGTATCTGATTAAACATTGGCTGGGATAGTACATTACTAGAGGCAGCATATGCAAATATGAACACCCTGCAGACTCCATCCCCTGCACAGGCAGGCTTCTTGAGGAAGCAGTCAGCACGGTTTCCAGTCCAGTGTTCAGCCCCACATGGATCTCTCTATAACCCGCAGTCTACCCAAGTATTTACCACCTGTCTCTCCCGCTCGATAGCCGAGACCCAGCCTCAGCGCTCATCACCGCCCGCAGCGCTCGGCTGCTGCGTGGTGCGCGTGCGCACTCGTTCTTGACTGGGAATGTGGGGAAGCTCCCCAGATTCTGCCGGGACCTCTGACATTCTTCCCTTTGCTCCCAGTGGCCCTGCACTCATCTTCATCGGGCGTTTCATGCCTCTGAATCTGATTCCGAGTTTGAATTACAATCGTTGATAAGACTGGAAGCCTGGATAGCACTGTAGTTAATCACAGACGGTGGAGTCAGGACCCAGCCTCAAGTGCTGGATTAGATGACCATTAGTGACCTTGCTAAACTTGTGTCCTCATCTGTATAAATGGGATAATGCCAAGTTATTCTAACACATGTAAAGCACGCACAAAAATGATTTCTGACACACACCAAATGGGCAAGAAATCTAGGGGCTTCTATTGCTGGCTCTCCAAGAAAAGGAACTTGATCTTTTCAACTCATATCCCTGTCAACCTGACACAGCGTAGGGGTTATGAGCTGGTCAGGGCTGGTAGGGCTGGTTCACACGTTCATGCATGTCCTCGGTGCCTTCTTTTGGCTCTGCTATCCTTAATGATGGCTTTCATTTCCTTTGTAAGATGGCTGCTGTAACTCCAGCAATTTTGTTTGCTTTCCTGCAGGAAGAAGGACTGGTGAAGGCACATGCTGAATAGACAAGCTCTGTGTAAAGAGCTTCCAAAGCCCCGCACTGAGACTTCAGCTTGTCTCTCGTTGGCCAGACTTTTGATCGTGCCTGGATTCAAGGAGGCCACAAAATGCCTTAGCTAGGTATGTTGCCAAGCAAAACTGGACTTCTTTAATAAGAAAGGGAGTTTGAGTATTGAATCGGCAACTCAGTCTCTCCCCCAGCCAGTTTGTTTTTCAGAAGAGTGAAGTCCACACTGGAGGAGACAGGACCTAGGAGCAGTTTGGTTCCTGGTTTGGGTTGTTTCTGACGCCCACAGCCATGCCTGTCCTTAGGCTTGGGTGCATTCCATTGGCCAATAACTTAATCTTTTTGCTTAAGTTAGTTCAGGTAGGTTTCTCAACCAGGAACCAACCAAAGGATTTCCTGCATTTCCCTTCTATCATACCATCTAATAGGGCCCCAAATCTACCAGCTACTCTAAACAGTAGTTTGGTGTTTCATACATGGCAGCCAATTACTGGTTTCTCACAGCAGGCAGGAATGTTTCAAGTCAGCATGAACTCAAATAAATATGGAGAATACAAGAATGATAAAAACCAAGAACTACAATGCTGCTGTAGCCTGTTTGGCTCAGGGTTTGCAGAACCCTTCCTGCCATGTGAAATAGTTGTGCACAAGTTCCCCAAAGCTGGCAATTTCACAGGCATCTAGTTGGGGGCTTCCCCTTCCTGTGTCCCAGGATGCATCTGTGTGAAACGCGACATCTCATGACCCACTACCAGGACTTCTACATATACATCAAAATCGATAATTCAAGTTAACAGAAGTTGAGTGCCTAGTGTGTGCCAGACACTGTTGTGGGTGCCTGGGAATCAATGGGGAACAAAATATGCAGATTCCTGCTCTCACAGAGTTTACATTATAGTGAGGGATGGCAACGGAGACAGTCAATAAAATTTAAAAAATTGCACAGTATGTCAGAAAGTAGTAAGTTCTATGGGAAAAAAAGACCAAAGGGGAGAGCCGGCATGGGGGTGGGGCTGACTGGCTGTAGACGTAAAATGAGGTGTGAGGGGAGGCTTCAATGGGAAGGTCAGATTGAAATAAACACTGTAGAGGTGAGGGAGCTAGTCCCGCAGATACATGGGGAAAGGCTTTATAGGAAGAGGGAACGGCTTGGAGCGAGTGCCCTAATGTGCCCGGCATGTTCAAGATCAGGAAGGCAGGAGAGTTACTGCTGACTGAGTGAGGGAGGAGAAATCAGAGGTTAGAAGGGCTCACACCAATTAAGGCCTTGTAAGCTGTTGTAAGGACTCAGGCTTTTCCTCTGAGTGGTATGGGGAGCCACTGCAGAGTTTCTCTGGAAGAGAGACTTTCATTTTTAAAGAGGATTAGATTGGCTGTCCTGTTGAAACAGACCAGAGGGGACCCAGGGTAGGTGCCAGCAGACTGCCACGATCCAGGCGAGAAACAGTGGAGGCCGAGAGTAGGTGTGAGTCCCGGAGGCAATGGATAGTGGTCCGATTATGAACAGAGGGAGAGTTTTCCATTACCAGCCTCCTAGACCTGGCTTTTCTCCATCCATCCGCCCTCCTACCCAGCCATCTGTCCGTCCATCCAACAATTAGTTATTGAAAGCTTACTTTATGTGGGGCACTGTTCCAGGCTCTGAGAATACCACTGTGAACTGGACCAGCAAGCTCCTTCTGGAGCTTACATTTCACTCAGCAGAGATAGATGGTAAATAAACTCATGCCCCAGTGGTGGTCTACAGTGGGAGCTGCTATCAAGGAATCCACAGTGATTTCTTAGGAAAAGTGCTGGAGTAGAAGCTAGAAAAGGCCTCAGAGGAAGTGATGTTTGAAACAAGACCAGAAAAGAAGGAGCCAGCTGTGCTAAAAGTCAGGAGAAAAGCATTCCTGGGAAAGAAAACTTGCTGTGCACAGTGGAATTGCAGAGAGAAGACCAGTGTTGTTGGAACATAGGGAGCTGGGGAAAGAGCAGCAATTATCTCTTCCCCAGGGACGAACAGCACATGGCCATGTTCCTACACGGACGGTCCGCATGGATTTGTTTCTGGTTTCATAATAATTATGCAACAGTCTGATAAGCACAGTATTGATTTAACAAAGAATCTAAACATAAACTAGCATGTGAACACTCTCTTCCAGCCAGTTGTTGT